GTCCTATACATATGCAGTGTACAACGTACGCTCAACACCCCCCGCAGTCGAAGCGTCGCCGGAGACATAGAGACTGAACCGAAACTCCTCGAAGACTGGGGTCGGTAGTCCCTTAGTCATAACATCGGCAAACTGCTGAGTGGTAGGAACATGCAGAACACGAACCTTCCCGAGAGCTACCTGCTCGCAAACGAAGTGAATGTCGAGCTCAATATGCTTCGTACGACGATGGTGGACGGGGTTGGCGGAGAGGTAGACGACGGAGACGTTGTTACAGTAGACAATCGTGGCCTTGGGGACCACACAAAGCAACTCCTGAAGAAGCTGACGGAGCCAAGAGCACTCAGCAACGGCGTTAGCCACTGCCCGATACTCCGCCTCGGCACTCGAGCGAGAGACCGTGGGCTGCCGCTTGGACGACCACGATATCAGCGACAACCCGAGGTAGACACAATAGCCTGACGTAGAGCGACGCGTGTCCGGGCAGCCAGCCCAATCAGCGTCGGAGTAGGCGACCATGTCGATGGAGGAGGAAGCCGTCAGGGTAAGTCCCATGGTCATAGTGTCGCATATATACCAAAGAATACGCTTCACCAGAGTCCAATGAGAGTCACGTGGGGAGTGCATGTGAAGGTACACCTGTTGGACTGCATACTACAAGTCAGGCCGAGTGAGGGTGAGATACTGCAGAGCGCCGACGATGGAGCGGTAGAACGCCGCATCCGGCGCAGGGGAACCCTCCAAAGTAGAAACCTTCGCCTTGGCGTCAACAGGCGTGGACGCGGTTTTGCAATTAAGCATACCTGCGCGCTCGAGAAGCTCATGAGCGTACTTCTGCTGATGCAGAAAGAACCCATCGGCACGGCGAACGATCTCAATGCCAAGGAAGTAGTGCAGTGCTCCAAGATCCTTGAGGGCAAACTCATCGCGAAGACGAGCCGTGAGCTGCTGAAGAAGCCCAGGCGAGGATGCCGTCAGGATAATGTCGTCCACATAGAGCAGCAGGTATGCAGTGGCAGTGCCCTGATGATAGACGAACAGAGACGCGTCGGAGCGGATTGTGTGAAACCCAAGCTGCTGTAGGGACACGGCCATACGCTGGTACCACGCCCTGGGGGCCTGCTTCAGTCCATAGAGGGACCGAGAGAGCAGGCAGACGTGGTCGGGGTGCTCGGCGTCTCACGAAGCCAGTCGGCTGCTCGCAGAAGACCCGTTCCGTGAGGTGGCCGTGCAGAAACGCGTTGGAGACATCCAACTGATGCACTGGCCAGCCACGGGAAACCGCCAGCTAAAGCACCGTACGAATCGTGCCTGGTTTAACGATCAGGGCGAAGGTGTCGGTGAAGTCCGCGCCGGCGCGCTGGCGAAAACCGCGCACCACCCAACGAGCCTTGTAGCGCTCGAGAGAACCGTCAGGGTTGGTCTTGTGACGAAACACCCATTTTCCACTGATGACGTTGGCGTGAGGGGTTGCGACACAAGATGCTACGTGCGGTTGCACTGCAACGCATCAAACTTCTCGCGCATCGCGGCAAGCCAATGTGGATCACGAAGGGCGGCGCGTGCAGACGAGGGGATGGGCGACGGTGGAGAGGATGATGTCGACACCGCGCACACGTACTCATCGGCACCGTAACGCGTGCTAGGGCGGTAGATGCTGACACGGGACCGCGTCACCATGCCAGCGGAAGGCGGGTCGGCTGTGGTAGGAGCGATGGACGGAGGTGATGAAGAGTCCGCCTCTCCCGACGTCGCAGCGGGACCAGGGCCGGCCGAAGCAGCGGGGCCAACTGGGGTGGTGGAGCCGGCCGGGGCGGCGCCAGCCGTGCCACTCGGCGGAGTGGGAGCCGAAGGGCCACTCGGGGCCATGCATGGCCGTGCCGGGGCCGAGGCCGCGGCGGAGGGACCCACAGCGGGGGCTGCAACAGAGGGACCAGCCGCGGGAGGGCACGCTGAGGCCGCACCGGGAGGAGCCAGCGGGAGCCGCGCCGGGGCCAGGAGGGGCCCGCCGGGGGCTACACCGGGTCCGCATCCGAGACACCATCATGGGGCGCCGAGTCCTCTGCAAAAGGCGGTACCTGGTAAAAGGGAAAAACCCGCTCATCAAAGTACACGTGTCGGGAGGTATACACACGGTAGGACACGGGGTCGTAGCACCAGTAACCTTTGGTGCTAGGGGGGTAGCCTAGGAAGATGTAAGCTACAGAGCGAGGAGCGAGTTTGTGTGGTGTAGTGGATGCGGTGCTAGGATAACACAAACAACCGAAGATGCGGAGACCATCGTAGGATGGAGGGGAACCGAAGAGAAGTTGGTGTGGGGTGTAGTTCCAGCGAGGACGACAAGGCCTAATGTTAACTAGGAGAGTGGCGGTGATACGTCCATTTTGCATCATGCTTTTATATCGATATTTATTTCATTATGGGCTGTTATTACACATTATGTCACAATACTTATGCCTATTCTCTCTTATTTTACAAGGTTTACATAAAGAGGGAGAATGCCGGAGCTGAGATTCTGGGCTGAAAAAGGAGCAAATATTAGAGACCTATTCTGCACAGCTCCAAAAGTCCTGAAACTTCACGGAAGACGTTTTCATAATATATATAAAATACTCAGCGGAAGAAATTCACCAGGGGGGCCACACCCTGCCCACGAGGGTGGGGGGCGCGCCCTACCCCCCTGGGCGCGCCCCCTACCTTGTGGGCCCCCTGGTGGCCCTCCGGTGGCCATCTTCTGCTATATGAAGTCTTTCGATGGGAAAAAAATCATAAGCCTTGTTCTTGGACGAAACTCCGCCGCCACGAGGCGGAACCTTGGCGGAACTAATCTAGGGCTCTGGCGGAGCTGTTCTGCCGGGGAAACTTGTCTCCCGGAGGGGGAAATCATCGCCATCGTCATCACCAACGCTCCTCTCATCAGGAGAGGGCAATCTCCATTAACATCTTCATCAGCACCATCTCCTCTCAAAACCCTAGTTCATCTCTTGTATCCAATTCCTGTCTCCAAGTACGGGATTGGTGCTAGTAGGTTGCTAGTAGTGTTAATTACTCCTTGTAGTTGATGCTAGTTGGTTTAATTGGTGGAAGATCATATGTTCAGATCCCATATGCATATTAATAACCCTCTGATTATGAACATGTTTATGATTTGTGAGTAGTTACTTTTTTTCCTGAGGACATGGGAGAAGTCTTGCTATTAGTAGTCATGTGAATTTGGTATTCGTTCGATATTTTGATGAGATGTATGTTGTCTCTCCTCTAGTGGTGTTATGTGAACGTCGACTACATGACACTTCACCATTGTTTGGGCCTAGAGGAAGGTATTGGGAAGTAATAAGTAGATGATGGGTTGCTAGAGTGACAGAAGCTTAAACCCTAGTTTATGCGTTGCTTCGTAAGGGGCTGATTTGGGTCCATATGTTTCATGCTATGGTTAGGTTTACCTTAATAATGTTGTTGTAGTTGCGGATGCTTGCAATAAAGGTTAATCATAAGTGGGATGCTTGTCCAAGTAAGGGCAGTACCCAAGCACCGGTCCACCCACATACCAAATTATCAAAGTACTGAACGCGAATCATATGAGCATGATGAAAACTAGCTTGACGATATTCCCATGTGTCCTCAGGAGCGCTTTTCTCTATATAAGAGTTTGTCCAGACTTGTCCTTTGCTACAAAAAGGATTGGGCCACCTTGCTGCACTTTATTTACTTTTGTTACTTGTTGCTCGTTACAAATTATTCTATCACAAAACTATCTGTTACCACTT